TGCCTCCACCCTGGCTCTGACGTCGGCGCCGGGAGTTATGACGCAGGCCCGGGAGCACCCGGCCCCCTTGCCCCCCTAGGGCATTAGGGCATCCCCAGCCGTCCCCCCCCCCACACTTGGCTCTGATGGGGAGGGGCTCTGGGGTCCATATGCGGGGGTTCAGGACGCCTGGGTCCCGCGTGTGTGCTGCGGGGGGGAGTGGAGTCTTTGCAGGGCCCCGGGCCCGCAGAGGGTGTGTGTGAGAGAGAGAGAGAGAGTGAGTGAGAGTGCCAACACGGCTACGTGCAGTCACACAACACCACACGCCTCACCAGAGCCTCACCACATGCACACAGATGCCTGGACACATCAGGTGGCCTGGACACATAATACAGAACTCACCACAACCACACAGCCCGGTACACCACACCGCACACCTCACCACACAGCTACACAACACTACACAACTCACCATAACCACATGGCCCGGCTCACAGTGCAGCTACACAACTACACGACACTGTACAAGTCACCACGATCACAGGACCTAAGATGCAAAACAGTTAACCAACTCCACAAGGCTGCACAGCTCAGCAGAATCCCACAGCCACGCTACACAACTACACACCAGGACAGACGGCTGCCCAAGCGCACGGCCCTGCTACACAGCACACAGTACACCACACAGTTACCTGGTGACACACAACCACACCACACTAAACAACTCAGCACAACCACACGACTACATAAGCTATATACACAACCACACAACACACCACAACCGGCCAGGCCTGCCCAGAGCAGGGGCTGGATGGGGGAAAGCAAAACCACGCAGTGGCACCGCACTACAGGGCCAACAACTCCCGGCTGCACAACCGCACAGCACGACTACACAACCGAGCTAGTGGGGGGTTGGCAGGGAGTGGAATGGACACACGCTGCCTGGCCACACAACTATGCAAGACAGTGTACCCCACAACTACACAACCCAGAGCTGGCCTGGCATCTTCAGCTGCCGGAGAGGGGAGGGTGACACAGCCCGCTACACATCACACAGCTACACACTGCCCCGTCGGTGTCCCGCACTCCCGACCCGCAGCCCCGCAGGCACACACGGGGCGGGCACCGGCAGCAGCGCGGGCCCAGGCGGCAGCGGAGCCGGATCTTGCCCAGACACGCGAGTTCACACCCGGCCGGGGCGGGAAAGTGAACATGCCGGAGAGGGGAGGGTGACACAGCCCGCTACACATCACACAGCTACACACTGCCCCGTCGGTGTCCCGCACTCCCGACCCGCAGCCCCGCAGGCACACACGGGGCGGGCACCGGCAGCAGCGCGGGCCCAGGCGGCAGCGGAGCCGGATCTTGCCCAGACACGCGAGTTCACACCCGGCCGGGGCGGGAAAGTGAACATCAGGAGGGGGCTGGGAGGGGGGCTGCGGTCGGTAGTGAGGAG